AAGTAGATTGCCCCATCTTTCTTCCACAGAGCAACTGGTGGGTGTGAACCACCAACCTTCTGATTAGCAGTCAAATGCCTTAGGCACTGTACCACCAGAGCTCCTTGAAGTATCTATACCAAAACCAAACTCACTGCTCTCGAGTCAAGTCGATTCCACTCTTAACGACCCCTCCTTGGGTTTCCAAGGTGATATCTCTACAGAAGTAGATTGCCCAGTCTTCCTTCCGAGGAGTGGCTGGTGGGTTTGAACTGCCAGCCTTCTGGTTAGCAGTCAAATGCCTTAGGCACAAAGTATCTATGTTGTTGTTGTAATGTGCCATGGAGTCAGACCTGACTCATGGCGACCCTTCCTTGGGTTTCTGAGGCAGTATCGCTACGGAAGTAGATTGCCCACCCAACCTTCCTTCCGAGGAGTGGCTGGTGGGTTTGAACTGCCAGCCTTCTGGTTAGCAGTTAAGTGCCTTAGGCACTAATCAGGAGTCAGACATCTGGCAGGAGATCCCTGGAAGTCTTGGCTCTTCTGCAGTCAGGAAGAGGTAAAAGGTTTGGGGCCTAAGGAGTCTCCGTCTCCAGTGAGGGCCTGGACTGGGAGGCCTGATTCTTTCATTCGCTCTTCCTGTGCCTGCCCTGTGCACCTGTCCTAGGAGGTGACGATGGTGGAAGCTGGTATGTCAGGAATCTATAGGTACACAAAAATACAAATATGTCAGTGCAGGCACATATATTCATTGAAGACACAAACGTGGATACTCGTACTTCTAAAAGGGCATGGAGGTGGCATCTTCTGACTTCCTTCAACCTCGCAAGGGGAAAACAGAGTCACCACCAGCAGCAGCCCAAGGCTTATTTCTGAGGCCAGACATGCCACCATGCCTTTTCACCAATTCTGACACCAGCCATCCCTCCCACAGCACTCAGTACTTTTCTGCTGGGTCCAATAATTTGTTGCAATGGCCACACACAGAACTCACAGACAATACTTAAGATTATGGGAACACTCCCAAGATGCAATTTTTTGATCAGGACAGTCTCCCCTCTGTTATACCCTCAGGCATGCCTCTCTGGCCCTTGGCCTTTCATCCTGGATTCTGCCCTGCTTAGACAAGTGTTACAAAGCTCTTTTAGCTCTGCTGATAGGTACACATAGGTGCACCCCACTCTGCCAGTAAGCCTCCTGCTCAAAAGTACTCAGCTTTCTCGCTGAATAGGCCAGCAAGTCTGCCACTCTGTCTAATGCCTCTTGGTTCCAGAGCCACTGTGTCTCTGCCAGTGGTCTCTGCTGTCTCTCTGCCAAGGAGGTCCAGAACAGAGATCTCGGGTCCAAGGACACACTCCACTCCACCTTCAGCTCTTCTCTCTTGATGGCAGTGAGATCCACCCTCCTGCCTCTAGGAGGGCTCATTTTTAAGACCAGTGGCATAGAAAAACTAACCAGTCCTCACCTTATAATTCCTTATTTGCATGGTCCCACCCTGTAATCTAGGAGCTCTGGTAGCATAGTGCCCAAGGCACTTGACTGCTAACCAGAAGGCTGGCAGTTCAAATCCACCAGCCACTCCTCAGAAGGAAGGTTGGGCAATCTACTTCCATAGTGATACTGCCTCAGAAACCCAAGGAGGGGTCGCTATGAGCCGGGGCCGACTCAACAGCACATAACAACAACAACAACCCCATAATCTGGTGAGAGTCACAAAGACCATGACTAGAAATGCCATACCAAGTAGTTCACTGTACCACACATACATAACACAACATAGTCCACATTGGTTTTCTGGGTTTGAAGGCTTAGGACCATAGACCCATGGGACAGCTCAATCAATTGGTATAACATAGTTCACAAAAATCATGATCTGGTAAAGTGAGAAGGGATTAGGGACTTAAAAGCTTGAGAGCAGTTATCTAAGACACCACTATAGGTCTTAATTCACCAGGGGCAAAACAGTAAAAGGTAACCAGAAGTGCAAGAAGGAACAAGTCTACAAGACCCACAACGTCATCTATGCTGAGAACTAGATGGTGTTGGGCTACCACCACTGACTATTCTGACTGAAGCCAAATAGTTGGTCCCAGATAGAATGGGAGACAAAAACAGAGCAGAACTCAAATTCTTGCTTTAAAAAAAAAAAAACCCAACTAGACAAACTGGAAAAGTAGAGAACAGAGGACCCTCTGAGACTATTGCCCTGAGACACTCTATAAACCTAGAATCAGTCCTATCCCCTGAGATAACCTTCTAGCAAAATAGCAGAGTGGCTCACAAATTAAAGGATATTATGCATAAGGTCAGTGCCCCACTTAAAAAACCACTGGTATGAACCCAAAAGGTCAACAGTTTCTCAAAGCAAAGATGCAAAAATAAAGGAGCAGGAAAACTCGAGTACTAGAAGGGGAACAAACAGAACACAGTTAAAGAGAATGTTGACACATTGTGATAAATATGACTAATATCACTGAACAATTTGTGTAGAAATTGTCAAAAGGGAACCGAACTTGATGTGTAAACTTTCACCAAAAACTCAATAAAATATTTTTTTTAAAAAAAAGCATTTAGGAAGTAGAATCAACAGGATTTGGTGGTGTTGAAATTAATGTAAAAGGAAGATCAAGGATGACTTCCAGGTTTCTGGCTTTAATTCCTTTCACTGAAATTAGTTTTAAATTTAAGCAATCTCTGGAATATAGAAGTGGGTATATTTTGAAACCAATTAGTTGTATAGGTCTTAGCTGGCTTCCAGCTTTGTTCTCCACCTCCATGTCTCTTACCTCCTGCCTCCCCCATCCTTCAAGAGGAATCATTAGGAAAGAGCATTATGTTCAATGATGTTTAAGAAAACCAAGCTTTAGGAAATTCTAAGGAATTGAAAAAACATAGGTTTTAGTCAAAGAAAAACTCTGGACTTAAAGCCATGTCCTCTCCTGCCATGTTTATTCCCATATTATCATGCTATGATTCACTTCCCATCCATTCCCACTGCCATCAAGTTCATTCTGACTCATAGCTACCCACTTTAGGTTTCTAAGATGGTAAATCTTTACAGAAATAGATTATCCCATCTTCCTTCTGCAGAGAGGCTGGTGGATTTGAACCACCAGCCATCTGGTTAGCAGTCAAACTCCTTAGGCACTCCACCACCAAAACTACTTTCCCAACCATTAGGATTCCATTTGTGTTCACCTCTTCTAAGCCCAGCCTTATAGAATAAGACAGTGTTCCTGTCTGCAAGGAATTTTTGGTATAGTTGTGGAGAAAATATTTACAGAATAAAAGAAATAATTATTTCTTGAAATGTGAGATCATATTTTAGGTGTTATAAGAGTTCAGACTAATGAAGTGTTTCATGTCCCTGGATCTCTCTGGGAAACAAATTTTTCTTCAATATCCCTTTCCTTCTTTCTTTTTAATGACTTACATTCTCTTAAGCCCTTCCAAGCATTTCTCTTTCACCCAAAAGGGGATTGAGAGGTGACCTTCTATAATTGTGATTTAATCATTAAGTCCAGAGGAGTAAGGGCTACGATTTATAAACTTCAATTATGTGTCTCTAGTAAGCATAATATTATTTTGCTGCACATTTTCTGAATGGTTTTGGGTACCACCCCTACCTTATCTCATAACAGACAAAATGTGTCTTGAATAATCTGGAATTCCTATGTGATATTGAATCCTGGCCAAAAAGCTATTAGTTCCTAATTAATTGCTTGATTGTGTAGTGCTGGTTATACCATTACAGGGAATAAGGAGAGAGATCAGTGATGCTGATGGCCTATAAAAACATGAAAAATAGGTACTGAACTGAGAAACAAAGGACATAAAAGTACATGGGGACTAATAGAGGACAGAGCAAAAAATAAGTTAAAAAAATAGCAATGGACTAAACAGGGAAGATTGAGAATCTTGGGGATAGGAATGACCATGTTAAAGAGGAAACTATTAAGAAAGGAAGTATTAAACCTTAGAGAGCAATTAGAAAGGATTGATTCTGAAAGACTGAGTAAAATTTAAAGCCAGATCTGTTAACAGAAAGAAGAGAATGAAACCCTAAATGGAGCTGTTGCTGTTCTTGGTATGATATCAGCTGCTATGACTCTGATACCAGGTTCCCCAAGGGAAGATGAGGGAAAGAGGAGACAAAAAGGAGTTCTGAGGACAGGGTTGAAAGGACAGAGCATGGTAGTCCTCCATGGCCTTTCATTGCTGACCCCTGCAAACTTGGCTACACATTCTGGGCCTCACCCCACCTGTACATCATGTATCATTTCTGTGAGGCCCTGACCACATTTCATGTCCCTCATAAAGTCTCTCCTTTACATCAGACCATTATGATCTGTCCCTATTTTGAGTCAGCCACAGTTTCATCTTTGAATTCTCCTTTTCTTGTGTTCTTGATTTCAGATTCCTTTTGTCTTTTCCTTTCCTCAGCAGCACCTAGCCCAGGCTGACTAGACAGAGTCTGTGCCCAGGGATAATGGCAATCACATCGTTAGCCCCATAAAGTGGATGTGGGCTTGTACCTTTATCATGATTCCATGCCCTTTCTTGACCCACTTCCCATCCCCCACCTCCCACCCCCACCCAGAATAATCTTGATTGAAACTTTGCTTTTGTAATTTATAAGCTAGAGCAGTCACTCAAATCAACACTGGGCTAGTTTCCCCAAAAGCACTCTTGATGCATGAAGTTTCATTCTTAAGAATCATGAGTCATGGGGCACAGCTGGGCCCAGAGCCTTGGTCAGCCTGACAGCACCTTCTAAGGGCCTACCCTGGAGCCAGTTGCCCCCAAAAGTCCTGCCATCCCCAAAAGGCATTTCTAAACCTTTCCTCCAGTGTTTAGCTACCTCTCAGATCTTCCTTTTTATAATACTTGGGTGGGGGTGGGCGTGGGGGTGGGGTGGGGGGAGAATGGTGCTCTCTTCTACCATGAATTTGAAGCAGCATCATTCCTATATGCTTGTAAGTTGCATTCTAGGTCACTCCTCTTCCTTTTGGTCTTTTCAGGGCTGCAGGATATGCTTGCTCTCTGGAGATGTGTCTTCACCCTACTGCAGAGTGAGGAGCAAGCTGTCAGAGATGCAGCCACTGAGATTGTGACAACTGCCCTTTCACAAGAAAATACCTCCCAGTTAACAGGTACCTCATTTTTATCTTTTCTCATTGCTTTCCTGCTCTAGAACAGAGTTTGTCATGCTTTTTTCTGTAAATGCGCAGATAATTAATATTTTAGGTTTTGTTGGCCATTTGGTCTCTGTATCAATGCTGCCTTTTAGTGCAAAAGCAACTCTCTTGGTTTCCTAGTGCTGCTATAACAGAAATACCACAAATGGGTGGCTTTAAAGAACAGAGTTTTATTTTCTCATGGTTCAGGAGGCAAAGCAGTCCTTGGGGTTGCTGGGCTTATAGATTCATCTGCCTCTGTCATCATCAGATAGCATATCTTCCCCCATATATGCTTGCATCTCTCTATGAATATACTACTCTTTATAGAACTCAGATGTGATTAGATTTATGATCCAATCCATACTCTATGACCTCTACAGATTGGTTGATTATATTGGATTAAATTTACGTTATAGAAGGTCATTACATTATACTGCATCACATCCATGGATATAGGGGTTAGGATTCCAACACATATTTTGTTGTTGTTGTTGTTAAGTGCCGTCGAGTCGTTTCCGACTCATAGCGACCCCATGCACAGCAGAACGAAAC